GTAAGTGTTTATGTCAGTTATCATTTTACAAAATTCTTTTTACAAATATTATTTCACTTAACCCACACCAAAAGGTATTTGAGTAAATAATATCATGATCTTTCTGTGGAGGAGGAAATGTGAGTCCAGAAAAGTTAAGTGGCTTGCCTGAAGTGTGTGGTTGGCAGAGGGTAGGACAAAAACTAGTATCTAGATTTTTATTTAACATTATAAGTGGCAGAAGTGCTCTAGGAGATGAGGAAGGACTCTGAGCAGTGGGTGGTTCTAGAAGCCACCAGAAGCTAGAACTTGATCCTCAAGAATGAATGAGTGGTAGGAGATCTGCACTGCCTGGGATGGCCCAACCAGTACATGTCCCTGGCTTCGGAGCGAGGCCCTGGGGTCTCATACAGGTCTTCATCCCGCTCTCTGAAGTGAAGTGGCCGATCCCCAGCATCAGGAGAGGGTCACCACTGGGACCAGCAAAACTTTATTCACAGAAATAAGTGGCAGTCTAGACTTGGCTTTAAAGCAGCAGTTTGCAGGCCTACAGGATGTGAAATGGAGTAAGCAGACCCTCCCCAGAGGAGGGTTAAATGTGATGCCATGGAGACAGGTACATCAGGGACAGTGATGAGGCAGCTCAGTGTGTGTGGAGAGTTCTTCGGGAAGTGTGGAAACAGGCGCCATCGTAGCCTAGGCTACCTAATAAAGTACCACAAACTTAAGTGACAGAAATGGATTGTCTTCCTGATTCTGGAGGCTGGAATCTGAGATCAAGGTGTAGGCCAGACTGGCTCCATGGAGGCTGTGAGGGAGGGGTCTGTGTAGGTCCCTCTCCTTGACTTAGAGGCACTGTCTTCACCCTGTATCTTTCCGTGATCTCTGATCTCTCTGTCTCTGTCTCTGTCTCTGTCCACACGTCTTTTCATTGGGGCACAAGTCATGTTAGATTGTGGCCTCGTTTAATTATATAACATATTTAAAGGCACTGTCTCCCAAAACAGTCCATTCTAGTTAAGAGGGTTTAAGACCTCAGCATGTGGGTTTCTAGGGGGCATAATTCAACCCAAAGCAGATGAGATGCCCAAGTTAAAGGGAGTATAGCCTACAAGGTAAAGCACTAGGAACTCTTTTGTTTGCTAGCCATACTGTCATTAGTGCGTTGAGGAAATAAATGCTAGCAATCACACTTTTAATATAAAAATGTAATGAAGTGGACATCTGGCCAAGTAAGTGGCAAGGCTCCATATAGGAGTAGATGGGCCTGGCCATTGCAGCCCAGCAGGTTGTATTCCACGAGTGACCCTGGGACTTCTGCCAGCATTCTCCCTCATGGGGAAACACCTTCAGCCACCGCCAGTAATGTCTATGCTGGTGTGGTAACTCACTCTCAATGTGAAAGGAGCAGGTAAGTTCTCTGAGTTTGCATAATGGCTTAACAGCTACATTGCAAAATGAAGACAATATTTTTCTTTGCAAGTCTCAAGAGAAATTAGCCATCCTCACTGATGTCACGTGAAGACCTTAGAGAACCCCACACCTGGGACAAAGTCAGGGCTGTTAGAGAACCCAAACATTTCAGAACTCATCATATTTTATCTTTCTTCCCAGATTCATTTCACATTCTCTGGTGCCTCTTAGGTGGTAAGAACACACAGGAAAAATCAGCCTAGGTGTCATATATGTGATTGTTTCTCCCTGTATCTCTTCTAAGCCTTGAGGTTGGGAAAGAAGAAAAAAAGGAAGGGACTCCCAACAATCTTTCCATTTCCATTGCTAAGTGACCACACTAATACTTTCCTTTACCAAAACACAAACTGCTTTGACTCTCAAGCCTCTGTCAAACCCCTTCTGAGTAATTTTTGTACTTGTGTGAATGCATCTGTCCACCTTTTGATGCACATATTGATGTTGTGGTGGCCAAACAAGATCTAATTTCTTCTTAAGGGAAACATGAGTTTCCATTCACTGGCCCAGTCCAGATCAGCCCTGCCACTTGGGGATCTGTTTCATGAGGGTCTGTCCAAGGGGAGCTGTAGTTTTATTGTGATCTGGTTTCCTAGATGGTATGAACCTCCTCATTGACCACAGCTACAGAAAGAGTACCAGAAAAGCTGTGCCAACATAATTCAAAGACATCACTTGGTGTCTTATGGTGGACTCCCAGAGCTCAGTGGCTAAGATCTCAGAGGGCTTAGATCTCACATACCTCCCCTGATGTATATTATTGTGTGGCTCCACATTATCTCATGGAGAAATTATATGTAGAGATTGTTATAATTCATTACAATTTCCACAGCATCTACCCAGTCATTTTCCAAACAAGATGAGAGACACTAACTGCACCTCAACTGAGACACAGAGACAAACCACCAAGTACCACTCAAGCAAGAGAGGCTACTGAGAGTAGGTGTTTAGAGGGATGGATGGGGTAGAACATACTAATTCAGGGATGAAATGAGCTGTTAGCAAGCTGTTGCCTAAGTAGATGTGGTGGCTCCTAGCTACCTGGGAGGCAGAAGAAGGACTCTTTAAGTTAAGCAATTCAGGCATCCTAGCATCATCACAGAAAGAAAGTATGTGCAACATTTTAGCTATTGCTGCCAAAACTAAGAAAATAGTGATGCCACCTGTCACTTGCAGCAACAATAGTGGATTGCTTTCTCGAGAAAGCTTTGTGGTTTTTGTTTGTTTGTTTGTTTGTTTTGTTTTGTTTTAGAATCTTCCTCCAGAGATCCACATTTGGTGATAGCCTCTGTTATCAGTAAATTCAAAAAATGAGCTTCATCTCCCCTCGGAACACATCAGATTAGGCTGGGGAGATGGCTCATCCAGTAAAGTGTTTACTGTGAGCATGTGTGCACACGCACACACACACACACACACACACACACACACACACACACACACACACACACAAACTCAGGGGCTGTGTTTTACAAAGGCCATCACATAATCACATTGGAATAGGGTGTCCTCTGACCCCTGAGTTCTTTCCCATCTTTCAGCCAATCACCTTAGCTAAGCAACCATAGGTGGTCAAGCTGTCTGGCTCACCTGTGGGATACGTGGCTCACATTTGTGATTCTAGGCCTAAACAATCAGAGCACATAGCTCCCGCAGAAGTCTCCCTTAAAACAGCAGCTGCCACAGTGCTGTGTGGTCCTTTAATGACAGGAGCACAAACTTCATTTCAGCTGTTTTATCTCCCAGATGCTTATGGAATAAACGATCATGAATGTGCCTTTCTGGTGAGAGAATGCTCATTTCAGCTAGGAACCTTTAGAGCTGTGACTTGACCCACAGAGCAGATTGAATGGAGACTGAGCCAGAAGTTCAGCCAAACCCCACCATTGATTTCCTGACCACATGTGCTTACAGCTGAACACCATATATTTATTTGTCAGGTTCTTCTTATGGCTTTTAAAGTTACCCTACAGTTATTTCAAAAGCCAGACAAAATGGGGCACACTTTTCGTCAAGCACAATGCTGGATAATGCTGCTGGTTGACAGGTCTCTGACCTTTGTGACACTGACCAGAATCTGTGTACACACACACCAGCCGCAGAAGCTTAGCAACAGGCAGCCTTCTGTGTCCATTTCACCCCTCCACAGAAAGCACGGTCCTCGTGGGCTCTCATTCTTGCTTTAGTTCTTGTTCTTGTTCTAAAACGTACCTCTCTAGAATGGAAATGGGAGCTAACTCACTTCTGATGTTTGATTCAGGTAGGATTTTTTGAGAAGGAAGAAAAGCCTCAGAGCTGATTTGAGAGTTGCTGTTTATTCTACCGTGTGTTTTGTACACTGGAGACACGAACCTTCCTGTAGGTTGGCAATAAGTTTGACGCCTTTCTAAGAGGAGCCAGACTTCTGAATCCCCACTAACAAGAAAGCTCATTGGCTATAGTCTGAGTTGCAGGAGACTAGGATGAGTTCCTTTCACAGCCTTCCCTAGAGCACATGGGCCACTTGCCTGTCCTCATCAGAGCACAATCGTTCTTATAGGAGTGTCTGGTAACTTCCTACTCCCAACCACTGCTGCTCCTCATTAATGAGCTGAGGTCAGGACGTGTCTATCACTGATTTCCAACAGCTGCCCTGTAGCCTCACCAAAGCACACAAGTATGAGTGTTATCAAGAGAAACACCCTTCCTGGGGAGCTGGCTAAAGCATTGGTTCTCGGGACTTGAGGCCATCACATAGCACAGCTGCCCTGTCCATTAGCTCCTTCCTCTTCAGTTAAGCCCAGACATGAGCGGAGCCTAAGGCTTTCTGTGCACAGGAAACTTGGATGAAAAGTCAATTCCCAAGACAGCTTAGTTGTTCTTTACTCAACCCAGACTCTCTGGTTATTCCTCTTCAAAAGACAACAGAGTGTCACATACACTGTGTATGAGTTACAAACATGGTGTGTGCAAAATTAAACAAATTAAACATCTGAAATCCAAAGAAAAGCAGATGTATATGTACTTTGGATGAAACCAAGACTGAGGCGTTGGATAGCCTCTTAGTAAATGAAACAAAATGACTGAGCTAGACAAGGGGGAAAGTAGATCAAAAGACAAGTGGGAAGGAAGTGTTGGAGGCCACAGAAGCTGGCATTTATGGTCCCTGTGAGGAAGAATCTTGAGCAACCTAGCCAATGGGATTGAGGAAATTCAGGCAAGCTGGACCTTAGCAGCTTTAAAAGGGACATCCCTACTCAGGTGACACAGATACTAGGCAGTTTCTAGTTACATATGCCAGTGTGGTTGGGAGCCTCGTCTAGAGTCCGCCATTTGCTTTACCTGGGGCCCATCATTTGTTTTATGTTGTTAATTCCTGTGACTTAAGAAGTTTGACAAGATTTTATGTTTTCTTATATGTTTTGGTTTATGCTTTTCATTGTTTTCATTAATTTGGGGAAATAAAAGTGTTCTATGTAAGAACTGGGTTGTTTCTTTTGCCTGTGCTGATTGCATGTTCTCTGTTGATGTCTTGTCCCTGATGTTGACACTGCCCATCCTGTCTGTGAAAGGAGGCGCTGCGGCGGGCTTGCTTGATCAGAAGAAAGGGAAGTTTGCTTGGTTTAGTCACTCTACAGAAACCCATGGTAATGTCTCCTATGCTCTCTGTGTGTAAATGTATGTTGGTCCATACAGATTGCATGGGAGAATGTTCCTCTTGATGTGTGTGTGTGTGTGTGTGTGTGTGTGTGTGTGTGTGTGTGTGTGTGTGTGTTTATGAGGGGAAGACTGCTGACCCTCATCTCCTCCACTGGATAGAGTCATTGAGCTTGACAACCAGCACCACCTGTTCCCTGATAGAGATGGAGCCCTTCCTTTGGGTAGTGACAGCTAGAACCAGTCACTGTAAATGCAGAATGAGCCCCAGAGCTGGAAGTACCTTGACCTTAGAGGATAGGCTTTCTCCTAAGGCCCAGGGCACTTCTTCTGAATTTTGGTGTCTTTCCAATCCTAGCACTGCTGTTTCCACACCATTCTACTCACACACTAAGAGTTCTCTGAGAGCCAAGTATCACAAAGTCCGGTGGCTTTCTACATATGGCTCACATCTCCTAAGCATGACACCTGGAGAGTTAAAGGGGCCTGAGTCTGGTGTGGCTAAAGATTAATGAACTGAAAGGCAAAATGCCCATCACTTTTACAACTCCTTATGTAAGTGGGTCATGCACAGCCCAGGGAAACCACCTCAGGCCCCTATTCCTAGTCCTCAATGCTAAGTCACCTCAGAGGACTAGTCCCACCCAAAGACCTTGGCTGGCATGTGAATGTCAATGCTATCAAACTGAACAACATTGCTGGGCTACTCTGTGCCATCCAGTGGTGCACCCAGAGCCTGACTCAGCTTCGCAGTCATTGGCTTTACCCTAGATGTAGAAAAGAGACCTGGTCTACACTGGAGTAGTCAAGGTGAGCCTGGGACAGAGACAGTGCCCAGTTACTAGTCCTGTCTAGGGCTACTGTGTGACCTAAACCATCATACCCATTGTCTAAGCATTTCCTGTGACATCAGGGGAACATATTAGAGCTGGGTAATTTCAATAGTTTCCTCCATCCTTTAATATCTATGAGATGATGTCTAGATTACTTTTCCTCAACATTTCCGATGCAGAATCCTAAGTCAAAGAGAACTACTCCATGTAACAGTCAAAACATAGTAAGTCATGGGTTTCCTGTTTGGGTCTTCTACTTTGGAAACGAGTCTCTTTCAGTCCACTTGATGTGTCTTAAACCATTAAAAAGAAACTGAGGGAAGTCCGCCTCCATCAGCATTACCATGTAACCAGTGAGAGTCTTCCCCTGGGCTGTAGTAGTCCATGGAGACTTGTCGCTAGCTGTGGACACTGCGGCTGCCTAAGGCTAGCGATTTCTTATCAAATGAGGTTTATTCTGGAAGGAGTGCTGTTTCACATTGCTCTAAAGAAATAATGGTAAAACCAAGGAACTCCATAGGAGTTGTGGTACACACCACTAATGCCAGCACTCCAGAGGTTGAGGCAGGGGGACTGCAAGTTTGAGGGCATCTTGGAATATATAAAGACCATATAGTCTTTTTTTTTAAGTAAAGAGAGAGAGAAAGAGAGCAAGAGAGATTGACTCATATTACATTAAAAAGGATGATGGCAGTTCTGAAGACCTCTTTGACCTAAATTTTAATTGCATAGAATAAATAAGTGAAAAGAAATGATACCTTCTAAGCCACCATGCTCAGTCTAAGCTAGAAAAGTCCCTTCTAGAAATCTAGCTTGCTGCTGCCATAGTATAAGATTTTGAGCATTGCTTGGGAAGATTGGCTCCAGGAGAAACAGGTAACTAGATGGTAGTGCCAGGACTTATGGGAAGAGAGATGGTATCCCTGCAGGCTCTCTTTGGCCAACATTTAAGCATAATTCTGTGGAGCCTGCAACTAGACACCTCCAATCCTTGTCTCTGCCATGTTGTGTGGGGCCAAACAGGTGAGTTTGACAGTTGCTAGTTACCTCAAGCCCACCATCTCAGGTGTGGTCCTAAGTGTCATTGTTTTATAACACAGTGCACTGCAGGAAAAATAGTGTTCTCAAATCCAAGAAATTGGAGTAGCAAAGTTCCCTTCCTGCAAACAAGCTAGATTCCAGTCTTGGGAGGAGCTGGTAGGGGAAAGAAAGAAGGCAGTGGAGTCTTGTTTTAAGAGCTTCTCTCCCCATGGTAAGTTGACAATGCAAGTGGAAAACTTTACCACCCTTCTGAGGGCAGAGCAAAGATGCAACCATCATCCTGGCCCAACTGTGACCTGTAAGGTAAACGGTCTGATCACCAGAGTCCCTCCTACATTCCCACTCAACTGCAGTGTCCTGGCAGCTGACCTACCCAGTCTGATGAAGACAGTGCCAGGGCCAGGCCCCCACAGACAGGCCAGCAGGTGGTGCCCAGCCAACCCTGGGCTAGGATGGTATATTGTACACTAATGTTCTTCTCCTACCTTTCTCTCCCTACCCTCAATGCCTTCCATGTCTCCCCTTCACTCACAGTGAGCATGCCCACAAGTGAGACTGAATCTGTCAACACTGAAAATGTGGCTGGAGGTGACATCGAGGGAGAAAACTGTGGAGCCAGGCTTGCGTGAGTACCCACAGCAAACTTAACACTGAGTTCTTCCGGGACTGTGCCCTGGGAAACCGGCTCATGGGGGCAAATGGGATGGGTCCTCACTGCAGAGGTGCAATCAGAACCTGGATGACAACCTGTGCCCTGTGTGTGTGGAGGGAAAAGAGGCCTGGGGTGAAGTATGGCCTCGAACGTGGCAGTGGGCTCTTCAACTTCAAGTTCATCTTCAGCACTTCTGTTAGGACCATGAAACATGGATGCTGGACCCTTTCACCCCACCAGAGAAGTACAGAAGTAGGGGTGCTCTGATGTCTGGGGTTTTTTCCTTATTCCCTTTTGTCTCTTTCATAAGAGCCAGTGGGCCAGGGTCCCTGCAGGTGCTTAGTCATCTTCTCCATTCTGACAAACATGGCCTCAAAGAAAATCAGCAGCTGAGAAACTCCACTACCGGGGGATGACCTTCTGGTCCTGCGCAGCTCTCAGCAGCCCTTCAAAGGAAGGGAGCCATTGCCTGGGGTACCACCTGGATGTCCTTAGCCTAGGAGGCTGCAGTCCTTAGTAACTAAGCCTTCCTCCCAGTCCCTGGTTCCCAGGGCTCTGACCTGATATGAGAGCAGCACACGCATGGATTGTCACAGTCTTGGACACAGAATCAAGTCATCCATGTCAATGACCCTCCCTCCCTAAATGAAGGGGGGAAATTGTTTAATTACTAAAATTGGCAAAACCGATTTGATTACTAGTATCACAGAAAGCAGAGTCTGGGGGATAAAGGGCTATGCCACTAGGTAGCCACACCCAGGCTTCACTTTGGGAGGCAATGGCTGCTTTTCCTATGGCCTTGAGCATGACATCTGTGACCTTGTCTTGGCCACTGGAAGGAACTGCAGACAGAAAGCTCTGAGTAGGATTAGCCCAAACAAAATGTGTCTCCAAATGCTCCATGAGTAGAACAGCACCTTCTTCTGTGCTGTGACTCACTGTCACACAAACCCAGCCTTCTCACGACAGTAGGCGCGTCAGAGTGTGCCTGTGAGTGAGCCAGAAGAGGGAGGTAAGCAAGGCTGAGGGGCAGTGCAGCCAGGTTCCAGGGTACACAGGGCTGTGGCATCACTCACTCTGACAGTGGCACCAGGGAGTCTGCCCTGCAGATTTCTCAGCATTGTGGAGAAGCAATTATTGTCAAAATGTTGTTAAAATATTGTGCTAATTACATCTGTAAGCAGTACTCCCAGCCTCTTTTCTTCTTTTCTCTTTTGGAATTTTACAGAATAAGCACTTGAGTTTCTAGAGGTGGCCCCAAATAGCAGTGATAGGGCCGGGCATATGGGACTTTTCTAGCCCATAAGTTCTAGGCGTTTCTGCTTGCTTGACATCAAGGATGGGAAGTTTGGAAAAAAAAGATCATCAAGGTTATTACAATGCTGGCTTTGGGGCATGGCCCAAGGTATAAACCAGGAGGGGCCAGGGAGCTGGCACTGAGAACTCACTTCACAGTACATTTTCAGAGTACATGATGCGAGATTGGAGAGCAAACACGATTGTCCCCTGTGGAGGGGAACTGGCATCGCTGATCTATCTGTCACCTCCTAGGAGGATGTACTCTGCTTCAGGAGTTATGCAGAGTACATACCCAAGTTGATACATACCTACGCTGCATACTAAATATAAAATTGTGGTGCCAGAATTACAATATACACTCCATCAGCTGCTTTCTTTCCCCGTGTCCCAACAAGACAGTGATGGGCTAAGATGGCCGCCATTCCTATCGGTGAATAGACTTGAGAAGAGGAGCAGACTGAGGGCAGAGTGAGAGGTCATCATTTTGTAAGGACTTGCATGTAAGGAGAAGGCTGGGGTAAAGATGTCGTGTGGGTGGCAGAGGGACATAGAAAAAAGATCTGCAATGTGATGCAGTTTGGTGACAAAGAAAGACATCAAATAAGGATTCACCAAAATTTGGTAAGAGAAATTGATAACAAGGCTGAAGCAAAACTGGAGGAGGTCCAGCCTATGCGGGTACTGTGTGAACGGCAGGGTAAGGAGCTCTGAGGTTCAGTTCTGAGTAGAGATGGAGGCTAGCATTTGAGGCTATTGATAAGTTCATAGGATAGAGTTTGTTAAGAGAGGTATAGGAAGCAGGAGACCTGGACCAAACTTTGGGGAAACTGACACACAGAATAGAAAGACACAGGCAAACACAGTTACACTGGAAGGGAGATGTCAGGAAAGCCCTGTCTGTGTCAACCTTCATGGCAGTCACAGCCTATGGTGGGTGATAGAGATAGTAGTCATCCAGAAAATGGCACTGACCCCACAGAGCTGACAGTCTAGTGTGGAAGGCTAGAAATTGGGTGTTATGATTCGTAAGTAAATGTAATGGCTCCTCAATAGTGGAGAATCCTGGTTTGGAGTGTCAGGTTAGGGAAAGTCGCTGAGGGATTAAAAATTTAAGTTGAAAACCAAGAATGACTATAAATACTGAGTTCCAGGGGCCAGCGTGTGTGAGGGACAGTGGTTCGAGTGCAAGGCAGGGACTGGTAGGCCCCACAATGAACTTGGTCTTTGATATAAAAGTGTGAGAAGTTACTAGAGGGTTTTAAGAAGACAGTGCTGTGAGGGAGTCCGTCTCATCAATCTTGCACTCTTGGAGGATCATTTTGACATTAGGAACAATTAGGAAATAGGGTGACATATCCATGAAGCAGCCACTGTGGCCGTTTGATATAATGGCAGCATCAGGTAGAGTTGTAATGTGGGGACAGAAAGGATGGGCGGATTGCCAATGTGTCCTGGAGCTCTCTGCTCCAAGGGGTTTTAGAGGTATACTGACCCTGGGAACCAGTCTCAGCAAGAGGAGGTGGAAATGTGCCAGTTCAGGGCACCCACTAAAACAGTGAGGCCTTGCAAAGGGATAGGGAAAGGAAGAGGTGCCAGAGGAATAAAGGGCTGGCTTTCACTGCCATCCGGGTGATATTCGAGGCACTGAGAAGTCACCGAAAATCAAGAGACTAAAGAAACTGCAAAGGAATTGGGTCCAGGAAATAGATTTTTTTCTGCCTTGGAAAATGAAAGGGAGCTGACATGAGACCCCAAGCAAGCTCCTTCTCTATGGTACAGCTCCTTTCTCCCAAGAAAGGGACAGGGTGGACCAGTGGTTCCCGCAGGACCTGAGGCTGGACACTGCCTTTCAGGGCTACTTAGGGGGGCACCACTACCATCTCGTTGGCTTATTTGGCTCCACGTGAGATCACAAATGAATAAGGCATTCTACGGCTTGAGAAATCACACAGCCGAGACTGTCCTTCCAGTTCTGAGGACCTGTGGTTCTGTAGAGAATGTGGAGTAGAGTCAGGAGCACACTGGGCAGTAATGGGAATCATTCTAAGACCCATCATCATCTTTCTCAGGGTGGGGGCTGGCAACCATAGAAACTTGAAGGATAATCTTGAAGATACAAATGGGAAGACCACCAAGGGACCTCTAGATGTGCATCTCTGGACATTCTGGAGACTGACACTGTCAATGTAGACTTGGCATCTTTAAAATGTATTTTTTTTGGTACTTTTTATAGCCTAAAAGCACTTTTAAAAAGGACAGTTATGCGAATCTGGGTGGGAATTAGCCACAGTGACCCAGCTAAAGGCCAAGTAGATAATCTGCCTTATGTCAAGGGTCACACTGACATCACTAAAGGTCAAGCTGAACACTAGAAGCCAAGTCTATTGTTTGCCGGGGAGCCTTGGAAGTGGCAGAGTGATTGAAGAGACTACAGGCAAAGCCTGGGTTCTGGGAAGGAGATCCAGGCTAGAGATGTGGAGCAGCTGGGTTTAGCATCCAATATCTGGAGCCATGTTCAGCTTGGACAGACTCCAAGATATGTCCCCTCTCATCATAACAGCTGGGGTCATGATCAAGCTGAGGAGTCAGAGAATCTGAGTCAGCAATCTTTCTGAGTGTGCTGAAGGCAAAATGAATACAATTCAGGAATACTCTCCCACAGCAGGTAGTAAGTATACAGAACTCAAAGAAGGAAGGGGAAGCTGAAAGTATAAACAACTCCCAAGACATTCGGATATTTGTCAGATAACGATAAATAGAAGTGGGTAGCTAAGAGGGGAAAATGGTTTGGGGCTGTGTCTAATTTTGTATGTCAAAATCAAGAAGGAAAATCTTGGTCTTCTGGGTTGATCCTAGAGGTCCAGGTAAGTCCCTGGGAATAAACAGACTTCAGTCCCCACCAGTGATGTACTCTGGGGGTCACAAGCGCTGGCTAGTCATTAACCTCCTTGTATCCTTGCTCTAAAACAAGTCCACCTGAGACATGAGGTAGGGATGGTGTTGCCCTTACTATGAATGACGGAAAGGTCCAGAAACTTTGGAGCAAGCTACTCATGCTTGGGTGCACTGGAGGCTTCTGCTGTTTCCAGGACTTTACAGGTCTGCACAGACATCAAACATCAGTAGGAGAAAGGTGTGCTAAGGTGTTCAGGGCCTTCTGGCTCCTTTCTCCACAATGAAAACAGCTATCCAAATATGAAGTCTATCGTTACTACTAGAAGACAGTGGGCTATGAGCAGTAGTGTCCTTCTATTTTTTGAAGTCCTGTAGCTAACTGCTCCTGCATACAGGGAGTGCCAAGTAACCAAAGCCTTTCATCTTATAACAAGTTATAAGCCCACCCCTTCTAGGGCCCACCCTAGTGGCATACTCCTTTCTATATGCACATACCGAGTAGTGTTGCTGAGGGCTGGGGAAATGTGCTTATATTAAAAAACAAATGGATATTTTGGATACAGAGAACCTAAAGTAATGCTCACATGCATCTGCTAGCAACAAGAGCAACAAGAAGCCTTCTTCACGTGAGGAGTACAGGGTTAGACATCAGGACTCAGAGCCAAGTAAGAGACTCATGGACCATTTCCTTCGGCCCAGGGACTACAAGGGCACAAAGAGTGGCCACACATTTCACTCAACATTGAACTCCCCTTATCCCATGTCACACACTCATTTCTTCAAGAGAACTCCCAAGTTCCTCATCGGGGAGTTTCTGCGGTCTCACAACTTAACTGGACTGAAAGTGAGACTTGCAGGGGGCAAGGGGTCTGAGATGAGCCAGAAACCATTGAGACCCTCTGTAGGAAAGAGAGCCTGGAACCAACTCGGCTCGCTGCAAGATCCCTGAGCTCAGTATGCCCCTGCTGCAGAGAGTAGCCTACCTCCCTGTCTCCATTTAGCAGCTAGCAAGCATTTCGTCCCCCATTAAATGGTAGCTGTAGATAAAAGATGCTGCCCTGGGCTCTAGGTCCCCCTCCCACTCACTCAGTTAACATGTGATTAAACCCTGCAGCCTAGCAGGCAGTCTTGGGGGTGGGAAAGGGTTGTTAGCTAACAGTTCAGAGCAATAAAGGCACTTGGCTCAGCTTCTCAGTGCCCTGGAGATATAATTATCTCGTGCACGATGGCTTTGCCACCTGTCACATCTTCTGCTTTTTTAAAAAATAAAAAAATATATATAATAATGAGAAGAGTAGATGTTTCCTTGTTATATGACATAGCCTGCTTTTTGCCTAACTGGGACAACATGGCTTTAAACAGTCACCTTCCAACATTTCTACAAGGGTCTCTGATAATTGTCACTTTTCATTTGGATTCTATTCTTTGTGGCCATTATTAAATATAAACTGTTTTATTTGAGAATTTCATAAAATGAGGATTTACATCATTCCCACTCCTCCCCTTCAACACCTTCCATATACCCACCGCTCCCCTCAATTTCTGTTTAGTCATTTCTGGTATATATTTATAAATATATAACCCACTGAACCCATTTAGTATTGCTCATATGTGGTGTGTTTAGAGCTGACCACTGGGAATTAAATACCCTGCCAGGGACCTCATCCCTGGAGCAGACGGATTCACCCTCTCTTAGCAGTGTTGATTGCCTACAGTTCCTCATCTAAGGGTGGGGCTTTCTGAGATTTCCCGTCTGCCCTGTGCCATCATTTTGCAGGTCTTGCTTGTGGCTGTTTGAGCAGTCTCACTCAGCCTACTATTTTGCCTGTATTCACCTTTCTCTTAGCATCAAAGCTAAGCTGACATGTACCTTCAAATGTTTGGGTTTTTTTTTTTTCCAAAATATTTTCTCAATTGCTTGCATCCTCCTCCCCCCATCTCCTTTCTCTTCCCTCTTCCCCCCTTTATGTGGAGGAAAGTGAGTGCTTTGTCATTGCTAATATTTCCTTTTACTCTTTCAGCCACCGGATCTCCAAATCCAAGTTCAGGTGAGTGAGAAGCAAACTGCTCCTCTTCCTTCTGCCTCTCTAGCTTGATTCCCCAGCTACTGTGTCAGATGACCAAGGTAACTCCTATCAGCGGGGGTCCTGCTGGGGCTTTAACTGCTTTTTTTTATGGGGGTTCACAGTTTGGTCGAGGGAACTAGCTCAAGTGTTGAGACTAGGCTTCTCTTGCATAGTTTCTGAGTGGTTACAACAAGCGTGTCTATGTATCTACATGCCTACTTCCTGTATAAGATAGAGTACAAATAGGTGTGTGAACATTTGTTACTACTTGGTATACTTCACAACTTTGAGGGTTACAGACAGAATGTCAATTTTGCCACTGCTTGGAGACGGTGTCAGAAGCTTCCAGAGTATCCACCGTGTGGCTTGCCTCTGGCTTTACCTTCTGCACGTCTGCACAAATACTTTATTCCCACCTCATGCAACTCCTTGCAGATTCCCAAATAGTCTCTGTACTCGTGCACACTAAGACTTTCCTGTGGGGCTTTTGCTCCACTGAAATCACCATCTATGTCTCTTTCTGGGAATGTCAGGCTTGGCAATCAGCTCAAAGGGTACAGCACCTATGGCACCCTTGGCACACCACACTCCCAAGGAGATTAACACGGTCTTCCCTTCATCCTCCATTCCACATGCTTTGTCACACCCTCGTCCTAGTACTTACCATATTATACTCTACCTGTTGCAATGCTGAAAAGAACTTTGTCTGAACATGGAGTCTGCTCAGTGCCTACCTTGCTACCCCACTGGTTGCCTGTACAAGCTCCCTGAGTACTTGACTGGTTGTGTATGGAAGATGGGAACGTGAATTTAATTCCAAAACACTTAGACACCAAAAACATTGGCCATTTATTTTTCATAGCACAGTCTTGCCTCCCAAGTCTCATCATATATGTATGTTTAGTTCAGACAGGTGTTTACAACAGGATGTTTTAAGCACTTCCTGGAGGTCACAAGTATAATTTCTCAGAATTCCTCTTCCCCAGCTCCTGTCTGAGGTGGATTTGGATACCCCAGGGGAGGAATATCGCAATCCCAGAATCAGCTTAAAGAATGAGGTTCTGAAGTTCTCAAGATTCTCTTGACTCCTACCAGCTCTGATACATGGGTCTATGTGGGTTGGACATCTACCACTACAGGCCATATCGTGCCCTGAGCCGCACTCCTCCAGCCTTGAAATCTCCACTTCTGTTCTCTGAGTCCCAAGCTCTGCAATCCAGTCCTACCTCACTTCATAGTTCCACATTTCTCATGATCCATCACTGAAGTCTGGGAACCACAGCTCCAGTGCACATCCTCTCCCTACCTGCATCCAACTCTCTCTGACAACCAGCCAGATGAGTGATGGGCTAATTATTAGCATTCTTGGAAAGGCCTGCAGAGCCCCAACTCCCTGAGCCCCTCTCTATGATATCCAAGTGTTTGTAAGCAAATCCCTCTAACTTAATGGCATTCAACACCCTAGCATTAAGATTAAGTGAGGACTCCGGTATTTGACACTGCTCCAATTCCGTTACCTCCTTTCTCCCATGTTCTACTGGGATTGGAAAATGCAGGCTTCCTTCCCCTTATTATTCTTTCAAAACAAGGCCTCCTTGGTATAAAAAAAAAATCCAGGATCAGGTCTACCAGTGGTGACTTTTATTACATGAAAGAGAGCTCTAAAGACAAAAGAATACTCTCTAGATATTCCTTCTTCATCTCCTGCATGTGGAGAAGTAGCTGGGTGTGTAATAAGAACTTGGATGTATGGATGGATGGATGGATAGATGGATGGATGGATGGATAACCTGGTCTTGAAAAGACAATAGACTTGACAGACATTCAAACAAATGTCATTTTTGACAAGTACATATACTCTGAACAGTTCCACAGCCCACACACAGTAACAGTAAAGAGATTAAATTTTATAGTGAAAATATTTCCTGAATTCTATTCTCGCTATATGCAAATGAGGAATCATAGATGAATGAATAGATAAACCCAATCTGGAGTCTTGTAGAGAAGATCCCATACTTGGTGGACACTAGTGAGTTATCAGGAGACCTTGAGAATTGGGTGGTCTATTGTGTCAGGGGTGTCCTTGCAGAATCTTTTGATCCTTGGGACTTGGCCCACTCTGCATCTCTAATTGCTTACTTAGGGGCCGCAGGGGGCGATGCTTCTCTCTCTGCACTTCCAATTTAAGAGAAGCACAGCAATAACCTTGTATTCACAAATGGCTTCTTGTCAGTGGGTTGGCACAGTTATTAAAAGCACCTGTAGATGATCCGTGAGACTTAAAGAAGCCCAGAGTCACAGCTGGGGACTAGCCTCATCCATGCTATAGCCAAGTCCTGGCTGATATACTGAACCTGTTTCTGTGCATGCTTTGGAGATTATTCTAGTGGCCATGTCAAGGAAGTGCAGAGGAGCAGCAGGAAACAAAACATTTTCATTTAAAGCAGGGTAATGAAAACCTTGTCATTTCAACAGGAATTAATGTAACACATTTCAGTGACATAGTCTGTGTTCTTTGTTGCACCAAGACTTTTTGCAACTTAGCATGTCCCTTACATTTACTGTGCATCTTAGTTTGGATTGGCCACATGTTGCTAGTAGCTGCCACCCAGACAAGGAGACCCTGGTTGTGAGCAATATCACAAGCAGCTGACTAACTTACATCCTTCAGCCCACTGATGGTGTCTGGTTGGGGAATAGCTAAGGCTGGTAATGGATTGAAAATGCTTGCAGAATTATCAACATTTTCCAAATAGTTCTCTCAGTTGGGGAAACAATTTAATAATGACAGCAATAGAATTTGAGCTTCAAATTGGCCTATTTTAGGTGCAGGACTAGATGATACGAAGTCATAGTTAATTTTGAAAGAATAGTTAAATAGAGTTTTAGGGAAAAAATTAGATGATACTTTGTTACTTTGACAATTCAGGTTTTCATGTAAAGGAAAATTAAGACTACATTTGAGATTCACTAAGCATCATTGATCCAGGGACCTGTTGGAGTCTTTCCTTGCACAACTATGCAGAATTCAGAGAAAATCTTATGGGTTTCCAAAATGTGAGGACTGTCAGGCCTAGTCTTCAGCAAGAACTGCCTGACATGTCACTGCATTTCTGCTGTGCCATGAACAACTAGGCATAAGCACAAGTCTGCCCCAATCTCTATAGTCCATTTTTAGGCTACTTAGTCATAAAAGAGTTAAATGTAGCGCTTTTTCTCTGCTGTTTGTTCCAGGTTCTGTTGAAGATGGTAACTTACTCCAGCTAATAGACAGCCTGCTGTGTCCACTATTTCCATGTCTCAGGCTTGTCAGCATTTTCATGCCGAGAAAAGCCGTTTAGGAGTGTTGTCCTTTCCCCTTCCCAAGGCCGGAGGTTTTTAAGCCTTGCCTTTTTCAGTGAGTTAGACCTGGAGCATGTCTCTATATCATGTCTCACACAACCTGTGAGCCAGCATCTTACTGTGCGAGATGGACTGACTGCATTTAATACTACAGATCTGTAACAAAATAGAAGACATAGTCCCTGCCTCTTGTGGGTCTAATTATCTCAGTATAAAAAGTCAGGAACCATACATTAAAAGTTAACTGCTAACACCAGGCAATGGAAGTCCTCTGCTGGGGGAAAGCTCTCTGGAGGCCTCCATGACTGCCTAAGATGGAATCTAGGGACACTCTTACAGAGTCGCCCAGCAGGTAACATCATCACCTACTGCTGTGCCTTAGGTGGGCTTTGTGCTGAAAAGGACTGTGTCTGTTAACTGTTCATATCTTACATTGTCCATAGCAGGTGTTACAAAAGTGTTTCTTGACTGCACAAACAAAATGTGTAGTGATGTAGGCAGGCTCTGGGGGGATGCCAGGGCTAGAAGAGCACAAAGCCCACTGCAGAGAAGCTGGAGTTTGAGTTGGGCCCTAGGGATGTGCAAGACCTAGGAAATGGGACTAGAAGATGGAAGTCTTCATAGTTGGGAGTGTATTCTGTGTTGCTAAAAACAAATACGGTGCAAAGCTCTGTGCTGGGGGTGGGGGTGAAGGTAAGAGGAGCCAAGACAGAGGGAGCAGAGCACAATGCTGTAGGCAATTAAGTACAGTAGACACATTCACTTCCATCCTTCTCTCCCGTTTCTGTATTTCTAGTAAATGACTTTCAGCTAATGCAAAGAGAACATGAATAGCAGGCAAATTGCTCCTCCCTGTTTTATCATTTAATTTCTATATCCTCTATGCATATGTAAACACACAAATAAATTTACACATTCTAATAAACTATTACATTTATTATATAGTAGGAAGTGTTGCCAGGAAACCAGCTGTCAAGCAAAACTATGTTTGAAAAGTAGGAGATGTACAATTATCTTTAAATACTTTCCCTGGATAGTAATTATTCCCATCCCCACCACAACCTAAAATCCATGTGACTCTCCAGAGTGGCTCTGTGCAGTAGCAACCACATTTAACAGAGCTGGCAGAGAGCTATTGTAGACCCATGTGATGGGCCTGGCTGTACAACAACCCATGTTCACCACTTATAAACATGACAGAAATGGCCATGGTCAAATTCTCAGTATTAAACTTACTCCAAGTCAGTTTTAAAAGCAACCTTGATTGCTCTGTAGTCTGCATGACAATTATCAATGGTTTCTACAGTATGGGATTGTGTCTATTTTAAATCATTATCTTTGAAGTTAATATGCTTTTTAAATTATCTATAATATTAATAATCATAGGAAGAAGTAGAGATGTGTTCCAATAACATGAAACTATACAGTATCAAGTTCTGGCAAATGCAAAAGACCATCTCTTATTGTAACTACCTGGGACTCATTGTCCTAGTCACTTGTCCCTTTCCACATATTCCCCGATCCTCACACTTGCATGTGGCATGGCTAGATGTTTCAAGCACCCTGAAGAGCACTTGCAGACTAATGTCTGAATTGCATGGTGTCTCTTCTGTGCATAGTAAATTTCCCAAAGCACCAGCTAAGCTGAGTGCCCCCTGCAAAGCTGGGGCATCCAGTAAAGGATGAATGAGGTCAGAACACTGAGATTAATCTATCTATCCTCCAGCTTGCAAGCTGAAACCCAAGTTCCCCCTGGTAGTTTTAAGGGAAGAGTTCAAATTCTTAGATTGCCCCTGGCTCTTCCATTCTCACCATAGAATTCAGTTAAGCCTTGGTAACAGGAACAATAGGGAGAAAAATGACATAGAGACATAGATGAAGCCAAACTATCCCAAAAGGCAATATGGCCAAGTGGAGGGAACCATTCAATATCCCAGAAGGAAATGTGAGCAAATGGAAGGAACTATTCATGTAGAGGTCTGGCTCCCTGGCATCAGAGAATACAATCTGTCCTTGGCATGGAGCTTGTGATGTTGAAAAGGTCTCCTTTAAGGAGTAGAAAGTTCAGCTTGGGGACAGAGTATGTGACATACGCAGCCATTTCTATAGCCACTTCTGGCATGCTTGCATATGGTGCTGTGTGACACTGAGGATCATTCATGATTTTTCAACTGATGCACTACCAGTACAACTCTACAGAGAAATGACTACATTTTTCTGATTATCTCTAACCAGAAGACTGAAGATATGGATTAATGACTTATTCAGAATGTAGCATTACAGGCCCATTTCATTGCACTAAAATAGAAGGCTGGTCTTTGCATCCTGGCCCAGAACCCCCCCCCCAAACACACACACAAATCCACACTGAGGATTTTATTCAAGTATCTATTACTAGTTTGAGTCATGCTATGATATTTTCATGCTGTTCTTTTCTCAGTGCTAATCATGACCTATCAAACAGCTGTTCCATCCACTCATGGGCTGCAGAATGAGGTTTACAGGTCTCTACTGCAAACAGATTTTACATACCTGCTTATATGCCTAGACTAGAAAGGGACAAACAGAAATATCACATGTCAAGTGCAGATACTTGTGATTGTTGCACCAGAGTATTGTCTCACTTCCTCCTGCCTTCTTTACCACCCCAGCAGGGACCCAGCATGCCTAATGATCTTTCTGCATGCATGCCTGGCCACCACCCTGAGCCACATTCCCAGCTAAATGCATTGCCCCTCTCCCAACCGCCCTCTCTTCTCTGGTTTTTGGTTGGTAGTGGGCACGACACTCCCAGACCACCAGGTAGGCATTTGGGTGCCCCTCTTAGTACCTGCCTCTCCTCTTGAATTCCAAACTCCCCCGTTGACTTTGCATCCAGTCTGCTGCGTCTTTGCATCCAGTCTGCTGTGTCCTCGGTGTCCTTTGTGCCACTAATAAAGTTTTTCTTACATCGTGGCTTACCAAGATAGCTGGGGCTGTCTTCCTGGTTCCACCTAGATCTAGAAGCTCACCACATGTCAGTGTCTGTTGTCTTCTTTTCGGAAATAAAATCTGATTGCATGGGTCTTCCTATGGTGGGTCTTGACCTGGCTGTCTATTGTCTGATTCTCCACTCTTCTGCATTGCATTCCAGGCAGCTGTTAAATACTTCCTCTTCTGACTCCCCAGCAGAGCTGTGTGTTGGGGGTGGGGGATGGCAGTGAAACCCTTTATCATAGAGTCATAAAATGGGAATGTTTCTTTGGGATCATCCAGCTTAATGGTTCTCAGCCATACTAAACATTAGAGCCAGCTGGAGGAAGTTCAAAAGTACCAATGCTATCTTTCCGGTATTTGAACATACCATACCCAGTTCATCAGTTTTCGATGAGATTGATTTGACGCTGAGGTGAGGTACCCTGGAAGGGGTGGCTGGGTGGTTGTGAAAGCTTTCCCAAGTCATTCTACACATAGCCACACGTGAAAACCAGCAGAGCCCTTGCCCGGGAGCACGGGGGAATGCTGTGTGACTGTAGCTGAGCTTTAGGGGTTCTCTGTGGGGGGTACCCACTTTTCTAAACAGAAACTCTAAAGGTTCATTGAGCTCTCAAGAGATCGTAGGAGCCTGTGAATGTAAAGAACCTCACTGTAAAGCAGCCTCTTCCTCTACATGGCAAGGTGGTACAGGTCCAGTGGAAGGGGCAGGGTGGGGCTGGAGAGAGCATCACCCTGCCTTTCCCACTAGTATATTGGACAACTTGCTGAACCCCAGTGGCTCTTAGTTTCCTCCTCGATACCAGGCTAACACATGCTTGACTTACAGACTTTTGGAGAAGCCCTAAGACATTCCTAAAATACCAAGCCCACAGAAGGTTTTATTCATAGTAACCATTTACTAGTCCTGCCACTGCCACCAGCATAATGACTAATTTCCCCCTATACTTGCCACACTATTTCTGATAATGCCATTAAAATAAATTTAAAACAGTTGGAAACTCCTTTATCTTTCAGCACTGGAGATTGAAACCAGGGCATATCCGTGCTCGGCTTTACCGCTGAGGTATATCCCCAGCTGAGAAAATAAAAACAGCCCTACTTGTTGGGCAACTTCAGCTTCATGCCAGATGGCTTACATGGCATTCTATGCATGTCTACAGGAATCCTGGGAAATTATCCCTGTTCTCATTTCTAACCAGAGCTTAGCGATGGAGTATAGACAGACCCAAGGCCACGTGGATAGCTAAACAGTGGAGCCTAGTAAGCTTGGGAGAAGTCTGACCACCCCACTACCAGGTTGTATAGTAAGGCCAAGCCGGTGACAGGTGAGATGTCACCTCATGTGCTTTGGGTTGGCTGGAGTCTAGATCTCCCAGCCAACCCAGTGTTTCCTCCTTACCCTTTTCCAGCCGCTACTGGCGCAGGTGGAATAGATTCTGCAGAAGGAAGTGTCGCGCGGCAGTTAAATCCAACGTCTTCTACTGGCTCGTGATCTTCCTAGTGTTCCTCAACACACTCACCATCGCCTCCGAGCATTACAACCAGCCCCACTGGCTCACAGAAGTCCAAGGTGAGCAGCCCCCGGCTTTGGACTGTTCACTCTTGCTAACTCAGCCCTGGTCCTGGGGAGGGATGAATTATTGGTGGCAAGTTGACAAGAAAGCAGCCAATGACCTCTGCCTGACTGGTGCCAATGCTGGAAAGTCCAAGGTCCTGGAAGCGTGCAAGCTTCATATTAAAATTCATGCCCTTGTTATAAACAGACATGGCCCTTCAAACACTGATGTCCCTCTCACTGTCCCCTACAGCCATAGTCACTATTGTCAGTAGCAGGTCAGGAGCTGCAGCTTCTTTGGCTGTTTCAGAACCCTGGCTGCCAACTTCCCAGAAATCATTTTCCGTTCCTCTGGCCTTACTCTAGTTCCAAGTAGCTTTCCCCAGACATAAGAAGATAGGCAAGAAGCAAACAGAGTCTGGATAAGGAACAGTATCCCCAGAAGCTAGCTAAGACCCCATGTTGTGCCTGGACCCCCCCCCAAGATATCTACAACCCATGCCTAAGCATCTCTGGGGAGTGAGGCAGATATGGCCCAGGTTGTGGGGATCCTGGGATGAGATGTCTAGTGATAACATGGCACAGAGCAGATAGCCTGCTCTCAACTTTGGCTATTGGCTTGGGCGGGGTCACTGACCCCTCTGTACCTCCTGTCTCACCTCTAAAGGTTGGGTTTAATGAGAGTAGCACCAAGCCTCTCGAGTTTCTATGGGGAATAAGGAGGACAGCATATGCTAAGCCTCTAATGCATGATGGATGCTCAGCAAATCCTTATAATATGGAAACTGGACCTAATTGTTCTTTCAGAAGTAGCTGAGAGAGATCTCATGAAAAGGAGGGAGGGAGGGGGAAGGAGGTGGGGAGGAATGAGTGGTTCTTTTTTCCAGGTATGACAGTGACTGGTGTTTTTCCTCCCCTTTCTCTTTGCTCTTCTCGGTTGCTTGAATCCCACCCGGTTGGTCCTACACCCACCAGACACAGCCAACAAGGCCCTGCTGGCGCTTTTCACTGCAGAAATGCTCCTGAAGATGTACAGCCTGGGCCTGCAGGCCTATTTTGTATCCCTCTTCAACCGCTTCGACTGCTTCATCGTGTGTGGGGGCATCCTGGAGACCATCCTGGTGGAGACGAAGATCATGTCCCCCCTGGGCATCTCTGTGCTGAGATGTGTGCGGCTGCTCAGAATCTTTAAGATCACCAGGTGCGCGTGTGCCTCCTCTTTTCCCTTTGGGCGCGGGACTCAAGGCCGGAGGACTGAACCTGGGTGAGGGAAGAGCTGTAGTTTCTGGAGAAGTCTAGCCTCTGATCATATGCAGCAAGAGGAGTTGTGGTTCATGTGGGTGGCATGGCACTCAGAAATGCCCTTAGCTGCAGACTGCTGTCCTACGACTTGGCTGCATTTACTCTGCTGTGTGACTAGAAGTGCAGAGGCGGGTAGCCAGGTGGCTTTAGGAGAAAGCATTAGGGACTCAGTCACTTTCTGTCCTTGGCTTGACCAGCAATGGCGTTGATTCATCTGTAGGGTACAAGATGGCTTCCGGACATTGAGGTACCGTCGATTCTAGAAAAGCAGTAAAGGGCTTGAACTGGTTCTTTGTTCCCCTAAATCTCAGGCAGGCCCGTTTTTAGAGATGCTGTTCAGAACCAAACAGACAACGGAGCAGCAAGTGTGAGGGAGGGTGTGGAAAGCTGGGGACCCTGACTGGGGATCCTGACACTCTGGGTGTGTATTAGTGACTTCTCTCAAACCTGTGACTAAATATCAGACAAGAGCAGTACAGGAAAGAAGGGTTCATTTTTGTCTCAGGGTCCATCCTGTGGGAAGGTGTGGTCCCCAGAGTGTGAGGTGGCCAGGCACAGCTCGTCTGCAACCAGGGAGTACGGAGGGACAGGACAGAGGCTGTGCTCAGCTCGTTTCTCCTTAATCTCTGTGTAACTCCAGTCTGAAAAGTGATGCTGCCCACATTCAAGGTGGCTCCTCCCACCTCATAGATATGCCCGGGGGTTTGTGTACCCTAAGTAGTTCTAAATGTCCCCCAAGTTGACAGTCAAGATTAACCAACTTGTAGAAATGGGAAGTGAATGATACAGCTGCTGTGAAAAACAGAGCGGCCGTTTCTCAGTTAATTAAAAAAAGAATTACTGAGTGACCCAAAACTTTACTTCTGGGTATTCACACAGCACTAAAAGCCAGGTCTTGAAGTGATGTTTATACACTCTCATTTAGAGTGGCATTATTTACAAGACCCAGAAGGTAGACGTGCCCCAAGTATTGTGGGTATGGATGAAGTAAAGGTAGTATTTACATCCAACAGAATATTACTACCCTTTTAAAAGCAAGTTTGTATAGATGGTACCACATGGATGAACTTTGGGGACTCTATGCTGAGTGAAATAAGCCAGTGACAAAAGACAAACAACACCGTTTGATTGCACTTATTTGAAGTTCTTAGTCATAGTGCCAGAATCACAGAGGCAAAAAACAGGACAGTAGCTTAAGGGAAGAGGGTGGGGAGAAACTCGGAGTTACTATATGAAGACCAGAGTTTCAGTTTAATAAGATAAAAGGATCATAGATATGGATGTTCACACTATTAATATACTTAATATCCTTAAACTGTAAGCTTTAAAGTGGGTGAGGTGGTAATTTTATGTTATATGTGTTTTAAGACAATAAAAAATAGGGGAAGAATAGGCTGCTGAGATGGGTCATGGGCAAAGGCACCTACTCTGACGCCTGAGTTCGAGCTCTGAGGCCCAGTGGCAGAGGACAGAACTGACTCCTCTAACTTCCATACAGGTGTACTTGCTCTCTCTAAACAAGCAGTTCGGTTATTAGTTCAAACCTAGGGACCCCCACGATCATCCTGAAGGCAACGGCCTGCCACCAAGCCTGAAGCCCTGAGTTTGACCCTTGTAAGCCACGTGGTGGAGGAAGAGAACCAGCCCTGGCAGGTTGTCCTCTGACAGCCACATGTTTGCCTTCTCCACTGCAAAATAAATAAATACAGATCATTTTTAAAATGGAAAAAAAAATCTCTTCCAGAAATCTCCTCAAGGGCTACTCTCACTGTTAGGAAAAGCTGAGAAATGGGTCTCTCTGACAGGCGTGGGTCACTACAAATGCAGCAGAGATGACCAACTCTGAGTCAAGATGGTAGGAATTATACTTCAGGGGACTTTGATCTGGCTTCACACACACACACTTGTCCATCTGTATGTCCATTGGAGTGAGGACTGTTCATCCTCACTACAGGGCAGGCAAAGCCTCAGGAAGAGGGTACAGCAGGAATACAGGGAGTGGGCAACCTGTTCCAGGTCAGTGCTCACCCTGGGCTGCTGAAACCAATTTATAGTCTCACATCATCATTTAAACCATTTTGTTGAGATTTAATTTGCATGCCATATATTCAACACTTCAGAGAGCACAATTCATTTCTCTGTGTGTGGATTCAGTTTTGCAACCATTACCACATTCTGGTTTTGGAACATTTTCATCATTCCCTAAAGAAACTTTATATATATTTCTCCCCCCCACCCCACCCTCTGACTTGTTTAGATTTGTCTATTGTGGCAAATTTCCTGAGAAAGAAATCAATAGTCCATTGTGGATATTATTACATTCTGAATGTAGCAATGAAAAATGTGGTCCTTTGTGCCCAGCTTCTTTCACTTAACTTAGTTTCTTCAAGTTACACCCAGGTTTTAGCATAGATCAGAACTTCACGCCTATTCTGGTGATTAGTATTCCAAGTATGGTTATCACACACTCATCATAGTCACTCCTCAATGATGGGCATTGAGTCTAGCTACTTTGTGCCTATCTTAACATTGGTATCCAAGGTTTTACAGAGATGTATGATTTTCATTTCTTTTGGGTATATATCTAGGAATGCAACCTCTTGATTATTCAGTAAACCCTTTAAGATTTTGAGAAATGATAAAATTGTTTGGTTTTGTTTTTTTGTTTATTTGTTTTGTTTTGAGACCAAACCATTTTACATTCTTACCAGTGATGTACAATTTAAGGGTTCCAGTTTCATGCTAATTGTTCACTATTTATTTACTTGTTTGCTTGGCTTTTTTGTTGTTGTTGTTGTTTATTTGGGGGATTTTTTCTTTTTTTACCTGTCTTCTTAAATGACAGATGGTAGTTTACATATTTATGGAGCACAGAGTAACATTCCAATATGTGTGCACAACACATGATGATTGGATGATGAAATGGAACACATCATCTTCCACCTTTCTGCTAAAATCATTCAAAATCTTTGCTACTAAGACCTTTGATATGTTCAGTTCACTGTAGAAGTGAACCACTTGGCACTTTTCTTCTGTGCTGGACACACTAATGTCCTCCAGCTCCCTCCACAACACTGCAAAAGACAGTTTCTTTTCTGCCTTCTTTTGATCATTGCATTTACTAGAAGAATGAGGTTGACTTTGCAATACCATCCTGGTTGTCAGTGTAATGCATGTGTGTGAACTGGGCTGTGGCCAACTTAGCCAAAGTGTTCAGGTAGGACTAGCTGGGGAGTCTCTCAACCCTTCTCCAGGTAGAAGTCACCAGATCCCTTAGGAATCTGATTTCTGGGAAATCTTTGGAAAAAGGAGTATTAAACCCCTGACTTGGGTTGTGTTAAGAAACAAGAATAGAGACTTGTGCCTCCAGGTCAAGGACAAGTGTGTCACAACTCACACAAGGTGCTCCTCTGTGTGAGTCACCAGGCCCTATGAAGCATCGTAGTTGTCACTGTTCTTGTCACAATTCTCTGGGCAGCCACCTGAACGAACAGTATTGTTGAGACTCCAGAGGGAGGCCCTTGGATTTAAGTTCAGTGATGGCAACCAGAGGCTTTTTCATGTTTAGTCCAGTCAGTGCTGTCTGCTATCAGGGAAGGACGGTGAGGTCATGAGACCTCAAGCATGGGCCAGGAACTCTGGCCATTTTGAGAGGAGGAGCTCTCAAAAGGATTTCCGCAGCTCAAAAACCACAGACACTGTTCACACTGCACTGTTTAAAAAAAAAAAAAAAAAAAAAAAAAAGGTGTGTGTGACTAGAAGCAAGATGCAAGATGTTATAACAATATCTAGCAGTGAAGTTCCTTTTCTAAATGAAACTGGAAGAAAAAAAAACAAACAAAGCAGACCTCAAACATGGGCCATGTAAGAATTGTTGAAGAGGCAGTTCAAACTAGAAAGTCAAAAATACTGCTTACCAGACCCCAGAAAAAGCAAACACAATCAGCAGTTGTCTAATAAGAGGCAATATGAACACAATCCTTTAGGTCCTGTCTTGGGACTTGAACAAAAAGACAGCTTGGCCCATCAGCTCCACAGCTCGTTGTGGTCCAGAGAATTGTGTGAGAGACAGGCCTGCTGTTGGCTGTCACCGGTGTGATACCTGAGCAGTGCAGCTTTGAACAAATGGCCTAACTCTCCATAGTCAGTCTCATCTGAAATCATTCCTCTTCTCATCCTTGAGATCATTGAGGCTGAGTTGCCCTAAGAGATGTCAACAATGGGACTACCTTATCCAACACAGTGTGCCTTAGTACATGTTAGCATCTATTATTACTGTGTTTCTACTGTTATTATAGTGTTTCTACTGTTACAAACCAGAATACTCTTGCAGTCCCCTGTTCCTCCCCTACAGCTGCGCCTCGTACTCTGAAATGTGCCTTTAGACTGACTTAGGAAGACACGTTCACCCTAAATCACAACCACATGTTGGATACCTAAAGCCCTATGTGAATGCTGCTTGCAAATCTCTCGGGCTGCAAAGATCTCCTTGAAGATCTCCCAGGCTGCAAAGATCTCCAAGTCCTTGCCCAGAGTCTTGCCCAGTCCTCTCAGCCCTCCCAGCTTTCTTTTTTTGGTGGGGGGGTCGTTTATTTGGCTTCCATATCACTGCTCATTGAAGGGAATCAGAACAGAGACTCAAACAGCAGCAGATGCACAGGCCATGGAGTGATGCTGCTCACTGGCTTGCTTCACCTGACTTGCTCAGCTTGATTTCTTATAGAACCCAGAACACCAGCCCAAGGTTGGCACCACCCACAACGGGTTGCGCCCTCCCCGTAAGTCACTAATTAGGAAAATGCCCTTCAGCAGGACTTATGGAGGCATTGTTCTCAATTGATTTTTTTTTTTTTGAGGCAGGGTTTCTCTGTGTAACAGCCCTGGCTGTCCTAGAACTCA